CGGCGTAGTCTATACGACAGGCAGCAGCAAAGTCAACAAGCTCAGCGACTAAGGCAGTCGCAGGAGCAGACTCGAACGACGGGTCAGTGACAACTGTGGCTAGCAGACGCGTGACAGTAGGACTAGCAGCACGAAGAGAGTCAGACTACGGGTCAGCAAGGGCAGGAAGGGAGGACGCAGGAGGAGAAGGCAAAGGGACACGTTGTGGAGCAGTGGAAAGACGAAGCGTCATCTGGTGAGTGCCTGGGACAGCAGGAGGACGCTGACGTGGGACACGACGACCTGTGCGAGCAGCACGAACAGGTGACGCAGAACGAGACTAAGGCGACACAGGACGAGACTCAGGCTCACGACGCTCCGTAAGACCTCCTGTCGGACCAGTGTAGGGAGAAGGACCAGGGAGTGGCGAGGCAGGCTGTAACTGTGACTGCGACTGGACAGGCGGAGGACACTCTAAGGAGGGAGCAGGACAAGGAGGAGGCGGCTGACCAAGAACCTGCTGAAGGAGCGGAACGAAGTACGGCTGTGGCCGTGAAGCGCCTCCAGAACCAGCAGAGACAGCACCAGAACCCCCAGCAGCAGCTCCAACTCCTGTAGCACCACCAGCAGCTCCAGTAGTACCAACTCCAGTACACCCAGTAGCACCAGCTCCAGCCGCACCGTCGGCTCCAGCACCTGCAGGAGGACGAGCGTCAGCACCTCCAGCTCCAGCCCCTGCAGCACCAACCCCAGGGTCAGCAGCTACACCAACTCTAGTAGGCCCAGCGTCCTCAGCTCCACCGGCAGCTCCAGCAGCTCCAACAGCTCCAGCACCTCCAGCTCCAACTCCAGCACCAGCAGCACCTCCAGCAGCTCCAGCATCAGCAGTACCTCCAGCAGCTCCAGCACCAGTAGCACCAGCTCCAGCTCCAGCAGAACCCCCAGTCCCAGCAGCTCCACTACCGCCTGTACGAGCACCTCCAGGACCAGAGGCTCCAGCACCTCCAGTAGCACCAGGGCCTCCAGCGGGCGGCTCCCCAGCGCTAGGAGCGCCGCTCCGGAGGCTGCAGCGCTGAGCGTACCACTCACGCAGCAGCTGTGGGGAGGGAGGCTCCGGCCGCGACAGAGCACCCGCAGCACCACCAGCTCCAACTCCGGCAAGACCCCCAGCTCCAGCAGTCCCACGACGGAGGCTGCAACGCTGAGAGTACCACTCACGCAGCTGCTGTGAAGAGGGAGCGCCACCAGGCGCAGCACGGTCAGTCTCAGCTCCCCCAGGCTCAGCACCCCCAGTCTCAGCACCCCCAGGCTCAGCACCCCAAGTCTCAGCACCCCCAGGCTCAGCACCCCCAGACTCAGTACCCCTCGCAGGACCAGAGTCGACAGCTACCTCGACAGGCTCGACCGGGTCTACCTGGGAAACACCTGAGGGAGCAGGACGCTGGGGAGGGAGGGGGTCTACCGAAGGGACACCTGGGGTGAGGAAGAGCAGCGGGGGGGGAAGCGGCGCAGTGCGGTAGGGGAAGAGACGGTAAAAGGGTACCGACTGGTCAAAAGTGACGTCCTAAGAGGGGAAGACCCGGCGCGAGGTGGGGTGGTAAAATTGCCAGCCAAGCGCGTCAGGGACAAAGCCAAGGAAGACACAGGGAACGGCACGGGAGGAGAGTTTGTCCGCGGACGTATCGCGGACAAAGGCCCGACATCCCCAGACCTGGAACACCGACGCATCACCAACCTCCCCCGTCCAACGCAGTGTGGGCGAGGTCTCCGGAGCAGAGACACGGGGCCAGAGGTTGAGCTGATGCGCAGCGTACTGGACTGCAAACGGCCACAGGAAATGGGGGGCAGCCGCATGGATCATGGAGGTACGAGCGACCTCCATGACTAAGCCAATGCGGCGCTCAGCAACCCCATTCTGCTGTGGAGAGGCCGGAAGTGTGAACGTCTGGCGGATGCCGTGCTCCGCACAGTAGGCTGCCAAGAGGTCGGAGGAAAACTCTCCACCTCTGTCAGAGTGCAGACGCAGGACAGGAAAGTCCGACTGGAACCGCTCGCGGAGCTGGAGACGAGCAGCGTGGATCCAAGGGATCAAAACATCAGGGACATCACCCTTGGTGCGCAAGGGGAAGACCGTGGTGTAGCGCGAGTAGTCGTCAACGACCAGCAAGGAAGTACCGCTCGTGGCCCTGTCTACGGACGCGGGCTGGGCCCCACACGTCCAGGTGGAGAGTCTGCAGAGGAGCATCTGTGGGAGGGAACGAGGAGGAGTGAGGAGTGGCGCGCTGCCGCCCCTCAACACAGGGAAGACAGGGAGGAGCAGACGAGGGTGGGAGGGGAGGGAGAACCCTGGGAAGACCAGAGACAAGGTACCGAGAGTGCATGCCACGAAGGCGCTGCACTGACGGGTGACCAAGACGGTGGTGCCAGAGGACTGTCTGGTGCGACAGGGAGCGACACGAGCAGGGGGCCGACAGCTGACCTGACGCAGACGCAGACGCAGCTACCTCAGGAGACTCAGTGGTCAGTGTGTACAGGTCCGACCCCGGCTGCCGAGTGAAGGTAGCTAGGTGGCGACCCGTCCGAGCACACGTACAGTGGGTCACACGCTGATAGGCAGGGGTGAACTGGTGAACACCCCCGTCCTGGAGAGCAGAGCCCGCCACCAAGTTCGTAGAGAACGAGGGGAGGTAAAGACCCGACAGGGTGCCGGACGGGACCGCAGGACAAGGGAGGACAGTGGAGGAGGTCGCAAGGACTGGGCCCCCAGAGGGGTCAGCGAGGGAGACAGCAACAGGCCGAGCTAGCTGCTCAAGGACAGTGCGGTCACGAAAGAAGCAGCGGGAAGCACCCGAGTCCAGTGTGAAAGTGTGCAGTGCCTCAGTAGACGCAGTACCAGCAAGCGCAGACGCACGAGCACCTGGAGCAGCAGACTCACTAGCACCTAGGGCAGCAGCCTCACCAGGACCTAGGGCAGCAGATGCACTAGCACCTAGAGCAGCAGCCTCACTGGTCCCAATACCCGGGTCGGGCAGTACACTCAGGTAACAGTCACCCTCAACACTAATAGTCAATGCATACATGGCACCAAGGATAGCATCAAAATCAAGAGCAAAGATATCAATGTTCTTTTTAAGCAGATCAGCCCAGCGGGGCAGCTCAGAGGCGTCAGGAAACTGCTCGCGCCAGGCGTCGTCGAGACGAAAGAAGCAGCGCTGTGCCGTGTGGAACCTCCCACAGGTCTGGCCAGTGCGGTCACCTGTGCGGATGACGTACTGGCAGGTACCTCCACCCCCAGACCCCCCACGCTGAGAGTACCACTCACGGAGCTGCTGGGGCGACAGAGTCTCGCTGGGACGCTGCTGCTGCTGCCTCTGGCCACCGCCGAACCCCCCACGCTGCACCGCTCCACCGCGCCCGCCACCAGCTCCACTGCCGCCACCACTGCCACCACCACCCCCACCACCCCCACCACCGCCGCCGCCACCACCCCCTGCTCCGCCACTGACCCCCCCACCACCAGCACCACTCCCACCACTGCCACCACCCCCGCCCCCTCCACCCCCTCCACCACCGCCGCCCCCGCCGCCACCTCCGCCACCCCTGCCCCCCTTGCCCCTGCCGCCCTTGCGCCTCCCACTAGGAGCAGACAGAGCCCCGACCCCCTCAGCACCGAGGTAGTCGACAGCAGCAGCAGATGCAATGGAGGGGAGGAGGGGGGCGGGGGAGCACCCCTCAAAGAAGGGAGCGCGAGGGTCACCACGAGAGGCACCTACAGCTACAATGCTCTTCTCAGCTGCTAGGAGTTCCTTCTCGAGCAGGTCGACAGTGAGGTCGGTGGGGGAGAGGGCGAGAAAGTGGTTGCTGACAGTGCGAAGAGAGTCAGGGAGGCGGGTGACTAGGTGGTAGAGTGTGAGGTACATCGGGGGAGGGTTCTTGGCTAGGAAATCGGGGGAAAGCGCGGCACGGTAGCGGAGATCACTAGTACGGAGGTGCGTGATGAGGTCAGCTACAGTGGCAAAGGCAAACAGATCGGGGAAGAGATAGGGCAGCGAGAGTCGGCCTATCGCAGCAGTGGCAGGGGAGGAGTAGCGTGCAACTACAGCATCGTACAGCTCCTTAGCAGTCTTATGCTGGCCAAAATGCTCGCGCTCATCTAACGGCAGGTGGCTGCGAACGGCTAGGCGAGCATGAGCGTCACGGGTATGCCACTGTGAGCGAGCAGTACTGTCAGCAGTAGCACTAGGTGCGGGAGCGGCGCCGGACGTGTGGTCAAACAGGGAAACATCGTCCTTGGCAGTGATCTGGAGGAACAGGTGCAGGTCATCGAGCCAAACGTCAAACTTAATCGGACGGCCCTCAGCGTCAAAAGTGAGAACGGTAGGACTGGCCATAGTGGCAGTAGCAGCAGTAGGAACAATAGCAGCAGTAGTAGCAGTAGCAGCAACAGGAGCAGCAGGTGCTGCAGGTGGGGCACAGTAGGGCGGCGCGGCTTGGTCAGGGCGGCGCGGCTCGATCAGGGCGGCGCGGTTCGGGCAGGACGGCGTGGCGCGGCTCGGTCAGGGAGGGTGGGCCGGTGCGTGGTCTGCGGTTGTGCGAGGCGGCGGCCTACGTGCGGGCGGCAGCCGTCGAGAGGGCGGCGGCCTACGTGCGGGCGGTGGTCTAGCGCGGGCGGCGGCCTACGTGAAGAGGCGGCGGCGCGCGGCGGTCGACGAGCAGCCCGCGGGCTGTGCTAGGGGCCGCGCGAGGCCAAGGCAGGCTGCGCGTGGGCGGCGTCGATGGCGCGGGCGGCTAGCGGGTCGCGCGCACGAGAAAAGGGGCTGCGCGCGGGCGGCTAGCGGGCTACACGCTCGAAAAATGGGCCGCACGCGCGGGCGGCTAGCGACTGCGCACGGGCAGCGTGAGAGGAAGGGGCGCGCGAGGGCGCACTAGGAACGAGGTGCACAAGGGCGCGAGTAAGGGACGGCGCACGAGGGTGCTTCTAGCGGAACGGTGGGCCCTTAGGAAGTAGCGGTCCTAGGTTCCTAACCTAGGCTCTGATACCATGAGAGAGAAGTGATTGCACTAGGAAAGGGTTGGGTACAAGTAGGAAACCCTAAACTTATTGTACCCCATAGTAACTACCCCACTACAGCCAAAACAAAATGTAGCAGATATAACATTTGACAGCGGGCGGGCCGCGTAAGGGCGGCAGGGCGGCGACGGGCCGCTACAGGGCAAGGAGGGGATGCAGGGGGGGAAAGGAGGGGATACAGGGGGGGAAAGGAGGGGATACAGGGGGGGAAAGGAGGGGATACAGGGGGGGGGGGGGGGGGGAAGGAGGGGACGAAAGGGGGAGAGAGGAAGGGATTGGGTGGGGGAAAGGAGGGGAAGCAAAGGGGGAAAAGGAGGGAATGCAGGGGGGGAAAGGAGGGGAAGCAAGGGAGAGAAAGGAGGGGAATCAGGGGGGGGAAAGGAGGGGAAGCAAGGGGGGAAAAGAGGAGAAGCAAGGGGGGGAAAGGAGGGGAAGAAAGGGGGGGAAAAGGAGGGAATACAGGGGCGGAAAGGAGGGGAAGCAAAGGGGGTAAAGGAGGGAATGCACGGGGGGATCGGAGGGGAAGCAAGGGGGGAAAGGAGGGGAAGCAAGGAGGGGAAAAGGAGGGAATGCAGGGGCGGAAAGGAGGGGAAGCAAAGGGGGAAAAGGAGGGAATGCAGGGGGGGAAAGGAGGGGAAGCAAGGGGGGGAAAGGAGGGGAAGCAAGGGGGGGAAAAGGAGGCGAAGCAAGGGGGGGAAAAGGAGGGAATGCAGGGGGGGAACGGAGGGGAAGCAAGGGGGGAAAGAAGGAGAAGCAAGGGGGGGAAAGGAGGAGAAGCAATGGGGGGAAAGGAGGGGAAGCAAGGGGGGGAAAAGGAGGGAATGCAGGGGGGGAACGGAGGGGAAGCAAGGGGGGGAAGGAGGAGAAGCAAGGGGGGGAAAGGAGGGGAAGCAAGGGGGGGAAAAGGAGGGAATGCAGGGGCGGAAAGGAGGGGAAGCAAAGGGGGAAAAGGAGGGATGCAGGGGGGGGAAGGAGGGGAAGCAAGGGGGAGAAAGGAGGGGAAGCAGGGGCGGAAAGGATGGGAATCGGGGGGGGGGGGGGGGAAGGAGGGGAAGCAAGGGGGGAAAGGAGGAGAAGCAAGGGGGGGAAAGGAGGGGAAGCAAGGGGGGAAAAGGAGGGAATGCAGGGGCGGAAAGGAGGGGACAGAGGGGCGCTAAGCGAGTGACGCGCTAAGCGGGTGACGCGCTAAGCGGGTGATGTGCTAAGCAGGTGAGGCGAGCAGCGGGTGACGCGCTAAGCAGGTGAGGCGAGCAGCGGGTGACGCGCTAAGCGGGTGAGCCGCTAAGCAGGTGAGGCGCTAAGCGGGTGAGGCGCTAAGCTCGCCGGCCCGAACGCGTTGAGCCCGCCGAGGGCAACGCGGCGGGGCAGGAAGTTGGGCAGACAGTTGCCTTACCAAATTTGTCGATTTTGAATGCAACGATTGCATTGCAGCGATCCCGCCGAATGCGGCTAGCCGTGGCGCCTAAGAAATAGGTTATGACGGGCGCGCCGCATGTACTGCGGGCTCGGCGAATGCCACGCGGCGGCCGTCCGAATGCAAAGCGGAGGGGCAAACCGAAACGGAGATGCGGGGCTGGATTGATGGTCGTTTTTGAGGTGTAGCCTAATCTTTACATGTGTAGATACTCCCATCCGACCATTTGAGATGTCGCGTTATTGGAATAGCAGCCTCCAGCCCAGAATGGTTAGTTATATCGCGGAAATTACTAGTAGTTGCTGATTCAATCGCCAGGTGTGTGAGAGTAGCAACGTAGCTTGGTGACGGGAGATTTTGCCATTTTGTTGTGACCCCCCAACCCAACCCTGGTTCCCCGCTTCAGATTTTCGCCAACCCTCTCGCCAATCTTTTGTTTTCGTTTTGGCGAAAACGCCGTGCGCACTGTAGAGCCTCAAACAGTACTGTCAAATGTATACTGCTGCTTTAAGGGCGGCAGGGCGGGCCGCTAAGGGCCACGACGGCAGGGCGGGCCGCTAAAGGGCCGCGACGACAGGGCGGGCCGCTAAAGAGCCGCGACGGCAGGGCGGGCCGCTAAGGGCCACGACGGCAGGGCGGGCCGCTAAGGGCGGCAGTAGGGCAGAGCCCGAGGCGCGCTTCGGGCAGGGCAGAAATTTTTTCAAGTGGTGGGCCCTTAAAAAAAAAAGGTCCAACTAGGGAACCCGCTCTATACCATGTGAGAAAAGTACGAAGAGTAGATACCACTACAGCCTACACAGACTATAGCATATAAGTTTGACAAAAAATACAAACATGACACTAAACCGCTTAGTGGCACATGACTGCCTAGCCTATGCATAGATGTGCTGATTCGAACAAATAGTGAATAGGGAAAAGCATGCAAGGATAGATACTGAGCACAAGTGGTGCCGTTTCAATGTCCTGTTGTTGTTGTTTTTTTTTTTTTTTTACATTGTTTCTTTTGATGATTAGGCGAGTCACTATGTTACTAGCATACAATCCAATCCAACTATGGTGCCATTCGCTATACAACGTAGTTAGATATGCTGATTCAAACAAGCCACAAGGGAAAGGCATGCAGGGATAGGCACAATGTCTAACATAACCCTAAGCAGGTACCGTAACATTCACAAGGCATCATACCGTAGCAACATTAGAGCACTGTTATAGAATATAATGGATGTTTTGTTTACAGTGAATAAATTCAAAGTGTATCTATATTATCCAAAGCAAACACCCCAATTTCAAGCAGTTTTGGAAATTGCTGTGAATAGGTATACATTATCCACTCTTAATGAAAACTTCAGAGCACAACAATTGCTATAAACGTATATGTTTCCCATTCAATGTTTTTACAACAAATGTACAGATATTAGATTTATCGCACTCAATGTTCGAGGCCCAGAGCCAATAGGACACGAGCTGCTCTGTTACAGGCCTCCATCGTGTGTGTCGAGGCTGAGATGCGATTTCGAAGTTGCCACCTGGCGCGTCAACGGTCGGGAGTTACCCGAAGCTGCTAACCTAGCAGTTCCGAGAGTTCCGAAGCTGCTTGGGCGAGGAAATGACGGACCGCCGTGTTTGCGCGTTTTCGATTTCTTTCGGCAGTGGCTTTGATAGCGACTATCTCCGCGCTTGCGCCCGATTCCCGCGGGCAGTTTGAATTGCTATTTCCCATTTTTCGTGACCAGATGTATAGAAGGGAAAATATCAAGTCTACCTGGTTTCAGTATAGGCCAGAGGAAAAACTAAAACCCACTCGGATGACAAGCCATTTGGGAGGCATCAACCCTAAACACCTGTCTCATGGTGTTAGGGTTGATGCCCTTTATGTGGCATGCCATCCATGAGGGTTTATTTTTCTGTCCCAAGTTGCGCGTTTGCTATGGACTCGACGAATAAATTTGTAATATCCCGTAACATCAAAACAATCTGTAATTGTAGCCTCAAAAGGGGAAACGGAGAAATAATATGCCACAAAATATTGGACGCGAGCGCGGAGCGGTGCGCTGTTAAAACCACTGCCCATTGGAATTGGAAACTAGAAAACACGGCGCTCCGTCATTTCCTCTACTTGGGCTCTTGTCGTTCCGACGCGACCCGTCGAAGGTACCTTTGCCCGCTCAGACTGTAACTTCGAACACACCCCCCGAAAGCATACCTTCCCCCCCCCCCCCCCCCCCCCCCCTCCCCCCCCCCCCCCCATTTTTGGGATGGGTCTTGGATTCAGCAAAGTAGCTGCTAGTAGAGAATACGATCCTGTCCCCCCTCTGTCGCCGCCCCCTAAGCTCGCCGTCCACTCCACCCATCACCGCTCCATGTCGTCTCTTTAGGGGCAAAAATCTTGCGACTGTCGCGTTTCGCGCGCGGCTTGTCGCGAGCGCGCGCCGTGCGACGAACGATGAGTTCGGAGACCACCGCCGGCTCAATGACCAGCACCGCGATTGTGTGCTTGTTCGACGCGCACGCGCTTCGATGACGGCTCGAGAAACTAGGGCACGGAGAGTCAGCCAGCAGCACTGACAGCCGGCCAACCTGCACCCCGCGCAGCGCGTGTCGTGATGACCTCTTGGATGAGCCGTGCTGCCCGTTGCGACCGAAACTATGGACCACGGACGACCCGCCGCGCCTTGACACGGATGAATCAGCGTGCCTTGACACGGGCAAATCGCCGTGCTTTGCGACGGAAGATCCGCCGCGCGTGGGGACCCAGGCGAGAGGTCCTTGTCAAGATACTAAGCAATTACTTGGGCTTAGAAGCCATGTCTAGAGTAACTTAGTAGCTTAGGTTTTAGGGTTGAAGGAGGTGTCGAGAGAGTTGAAGCAGGAAGAAGTGGCTTCACTAAGAAAGATGAGTACAAAATATAGCAAGGAGAAGCATGGTGCACCACCTACAGCAAATTTGGGATGTGCTACACTCTACACTGCAGACAATTATAAAGAACATATATAAATATAGTTCAACACACACCCCCTAATTGATTGCAGTGAGAACCATGTACAGAACACCCCCTGAAGTGGTACACCCTGCAGGGCGCAACAGAAGAAGAGGCAAAGTGAGGAGGAGGAGGAGGGACTGTGAGAGGAGTGGAGATCGGAGGCGACAGGTGAAGCCGTAGTCACACGGGCAACAGGAGCGGCGCGCACAGTGGCTACCGAGCGCACGAGGGCACCGGACTACGGGAGTATCTGGCTCCGCGGCTACGACGAGCGGCAGGAGCAACGGACCCACAGGCGACTGGCGAAGCAGGCTCGCTGGGCTACCGAGAGCACGAGGGCTCCAGACTACTAGCGCTGCTGACTACACGACGGCGACCTCCGCTCTACCTCCCCTAACAGTCCCACACCCCCTTCTCACACACCCCCTTGCTGCACCCCTGTCTCCACTCCCACGACACCCCCTTAGCTCCACTCCCCTCGGCTCCCACACATCCACCCCCCTTCAGCGGCAGCTGCAGCAGTGGGAGACGAAGTAGGAGGAGGAGGAGGAGGGGAAAGGTAGCACCCACACTCATCACCCCCACACCCGCCACCCCCATACCCTCCCACCACGGCTGCACAGGGTCCAGGAGCGGCGTCGCGGGCAGCTGCAGGGTCGGCTGCTGCAGGAGCGGCTGCTCCAGGGGCCAGGGGCGGCTGCTGCAGGGGCGGCTGCTCCAGGGGCCAGGGGCGGCTGCTGCAGTGGCGGCTGCTCCAGGGGCGGCTGCTCCAGGGGCGGCTGCTCCAGGGGCCAGGGGCGGCTCCTGCAGTGGCGGCTGCTCCAGTAGCCAGGGGCGGCTGCTGCAGGGGCGGCTGCTCCAGGGGCCAGGGGCAGCTGCAGGTGCGACTGCTCCAGGGGCCAGGGGCGGCTGCTGCAGTGGCGGCTGCTCCGGGGGCCAGGGGCGGCTGCTGCAGGGGCGGCTGCTCCAGGGGCGGCTGCTCCAGGGGCGGCTGCTCCAGGGGCGGCGTCGCTGGTGCAGGGCACGCCCGCACACTGCTGCAAAGCAGGCGCGGGCGCAGGGGAGGCAGAGGCGGCGGCCAGGGGGGGGTGCACCGCGACGAGCAGGGACAGCGCCCAGGGGGCGCCGCGACGAGCAGGGGCGGCGCCCCAGGGGCGCCACGACGAGCAGGGGTGACGCCGCGCGGGTCCTGCAGGGGCGTCGTGACGAGCAGGGCAACGCCGCGCGGGTCCCGCAAGGGCGTCGCGACGAGCAGGAGCGGCGACGCACGGGTCCCGCAGGGGCGTCGCGACGAGCAGGAGCGGCGCCTCTGCAGGGTGCCGCGAAGGGCAGGGTACAGGCGGGCAGAACAGGCCCGCGCGCGGACGTGGGGCAGGCGCACAGGCGGCGTGAGAGCAGGCCGCGCGCGGGGCAGGAAGATGCCGCGCGCCCGGGGCGCACGGCGGGCAGAAAACCGCCGTGCGCCCCGAGCACACGGCGGGCAGAAAATCGCCGTGCGCCCGGGGCGCGCGGCAGGATGACAGGCAGCGGAAGCAGACTGGTGGGCCCGTTAAGGAAGGCAGCAGGAAGGTGCCTGCTCTGAATACCATGTCAAGATACTAAGCAATTACTTGGGCTTAGAAGCCATGGCTAGAGTAACTTAGTAGCTTAGGTTTTAGGGTTGAAGGAGGTGTCGAGAGAGTTGAAGCAGGAAGAAGTGGCTTCACTAAGAAAGATGAGTACAAAATATAGCAAGGAGAAGCATGGTGCACCACCTACAGCAAATTTGGGATGTGCTACACTCTACACTGCAGACAATTATAAAGAACATATATAAATATAGTTCAACAGTCCTGACTCTCACCCCCCTTCCGACTTGTCACCTGTAACAAGTGAAGCTGGCTACACTGGAGCCCGCGTGAAGTGCACGAGAGGCAAGGTCATGCAGCAGCAGCGTGCAGTTGCGAACGGGGGCAGCACAAGGGCGGAAGTGAGCAGGGCGTGGGGGACCCACGTGAAGAGGACGAAACAGAGGTTTCGTGCCTTGACTGA